TAGTAGTTAAGTAGTTAGTAGTTAGTAGTTAGTAGTAGTAGTGTAGTAGTAAGTAGTAAGTAAGTTGTAAGTAGTAAAGTAGTAGTAGTAAGTATATAGTATAAGTAGTAGTAGTAGTAAGTAGTAAAGTAGTAGTAAGTATAGTAGTAAGTAGTAGTAGTAGTAGTAGTAGTAAGTAGTATAAGTAGTAGAGTAGTATAGTAGTAGTAGTAAGTAGTAGTATAGTAGTAAGTAGTAGTAGTAGTAGTAGTAGTAGTAAGTTAGTAAGTAGTGTAGTAGTAGTAGTAGTAGTAGTAGTAGTAGTAGTAAGTGTAGTAGTAAGTAGTAGTAAGTAGTAGTAGTAAGTAGTAGTAGTAGTAAGTAGTAGTAGTAGTAGTAGTAGTAGTAGTAAGTAGTGTAGTAGTAAGTAGTAGTAAGTAGTAGTAGTAGTAGTAGTAGTAGTAGTAAGTAGTAGTAGTAGGTAGTAGTAGTAAGTAGTAGTAGTAAGTAGTAGTAGTAGTAGTAGTAGTAGTAAGTAGTGTAGTAAGTAGTAGAGTAGTAGTAGTAGTAGTAGTAGTAAGTAGTAGTAGTTAGTAAGTAGTAGTAGAGTAGTAGTAGTAGTAGTAGTAGTAGTAAGTAGTAGTAGTAAGTAGTAGTAGTAGTAAGTAGTAGTAGTAGTAGTAAGTAGTAGTAGTAGTAGTAGTAAGTAGTAGTAGTAGTAGAAGTAGTAGTAGTAGTAAGTAGTAGTATTAGTAGTAGTAGTAGTAAGTAGTAGTAAGTAGTAGTAGTAGTAGTAAGTAGTAGTAGTAGTAAGTAGTAGTAGTAATGGGAACTGAGGAGGAGGAGCCAGTCAAATATAAAGAAAGGAGAGCACTGCAAGGAAGCTAGGTACCCATAGAGGGAGAGCAAGTGCACAAGGTGGGGGGAAGGGGAAGTGATGAAATAAATAATGAAGGAACAGAAACACGCGACAGAAGAAAGACAAAAAAGGAAAGAGGAAAGGGGAAGAGGGAGAAGAAAAAATGAGGAATCAGGTTAAGTCACGGGTGTTCTGAAGTTTGTAGCATTTTACAATGTAGTGGGAGAGGAACGCATCTACAGAGACGAAGTCAGGACTAAGATTCATACAAGGAAAGTTGTGTATTAGAGAGGATTCAACAAGACGGCGACTGTTAAAGTTGGAAGTAGGGAAGACAGTTTTAGCAGATGACCAGTCTATAGGATGGCTGTGATCTCTGACGTGACAGAAAAGAGCATTGTTAGTGTCGGCAAGCCTAACACTATTTTTGTGCTCCCAAAGTCTGTCAGAAAGAGATCGGCCAGTTTCTCCAAAGTACTGAAGAGGACAGGAGGAGCAAGAAATAGAGTAGACACCAGGAACATCTGTAGAGGGAGGAGAGGTATGAACGAGATTAGTGCGAAGAGTGTTAGTCTGGCGGAAAGTAAGCTTGATGTCTAAGTGATGGAGAGAATTGTTGAGATTAGAAAGACTGGAAATGTAGGGAAGGCAGAGGACAGAAGAGTTCCCAGGAACAGAGAATTATGTTGCTTCTGGAGGGGGCAGGGGGAGGGGAAAGTGAGCATTAGACAAAATACACCAACTCCTATACAGTGGAACACCAAAACTCTGGAATCTAATATCCCCAAAAATCAGAACATTTGTTTTAGTATTCAAAAAATTATAATAATACTCCCTACTCAGTATATGGTCTGACCAAAAACTTACCAACTCCAGTAGTAATTTTTTTCTTAAAGTTTACTATTTCTTTCTTTTGACAGCAACTGCAAAGTATATTTATGACAATAATTATAGCTACCAGTCTTGTATACGTACCTTAAATGTTGGTGCATATAGTGTTAAAATGAGTGTTAAAGTGGGTGTACTTGATGATGCTGAGTAATAATGTCAAAATCTCCCTTACATTTCCAAGGAATTTCAGTGTATAAATGCAATATTTCATTTCATAACTTTACCTAACACATGATTTACATGATGGGGCTTGGTGGCAGGAAGGTGTAACACTAGCAGGAATGTGGATTAAGACACAAGTATGCAAGACAAGCCTTTATTTGAGCTTTTTCTACCTAGAGCAAAAGGAGGTCCAAATAAAAGACTGTTTTGCATCCTTGTGTGTCTGTCCACACAGTGCTTGGTAACTACATAATTATTAGTGTCAAATGTTAAATGATTGTTAATACAGGTACACTGATAAGTGATGATGGCAAACTAACCACATTTTTTAGGTATTTCAGTATTTAACATCAATATTTCACCTAACATATGGTTTATATGGTATTAAATACTTTTTCAAGAGGCAAACACACCAGATATTACTAGCATCACTTTCATTTTGCTTTCACTGCAATGTTTTACCTTGGAATTTTTTCCTCAAAATTTTCCGATTACACTGGAACCTCATTTCTTGGCCACTTTATCAGCTGATTTGTATTTAGGCCAGTTTTTCGGCGGGAATTTTGCTCTGTATTTCGGCCATTGCCTAGTATATCGGTCATATTAGACACGTTAGCCCACCGGGATGCTGGGCTTTGGCGAGTCATTATCCCTTTGTCTGTCAGCGAGCGAGCATATACTCCAAGCACTCATCCAAATATTTCCTTATAATCCATTGCTTTTGGAGTTTTTTTATTAAATGTGACTGTGAAATAAGTCACCATGGGCCCCAAGAAAGTTCCTAGTAAAGTTCCTCTGGTAAAGAAAGTGAGAAACACGATGGAATTTAAGAAGGAAGTAACAGAAAAATATGAGTGGTGTATGGGTGCTGGAACTTGCCATAATGTATGGCAAAAACAAATCAACCACTTCTATCCAGGAAAAGAAAGAACAAATCAAGTTAACAAAAAAGAGATCACAAACAAATGACGATGTGGAGAAGTTATTGTTGAGGATTAGGGAAAAACAGTTAGCTGGAGATAGTGTTTCAGAGATGATCATTTGTGAAAAGGCAACACAGTTCCCTGCAGATCTCGTAAAGAAAATGCCTGGTACTAGTGATGATGTTAGTGAATTTAAAGCTAGCAGAGGCTGGTTTGAGAGATTTAAGAAGCGTAGTGGCACACACACTGTTGTAAGGCATGGCGAGGCTGTAAGTTCTGACAAGCGTGCTTCTGAAAAATTTGTGAAGGAATTCAAGAGGCATGTAGAAGCTGAAGAATTCCAACCCCAACAAGTGTTCAATTGTGACGCAACAGGCCTCTTTTGGAAGAAAATGCCTAAGAGGACCTACATCAAGGAGGAGTTAAAGGCATTGCCAGGACACAAGCCTATGAAAGACAGGCTAACTCTTTTGTTCTGTGCTAACGCTAGTGGGGATTTCAAAGTGAAGCCTTTACTCGTTTATGACTCTGAAAATCCCAGAGTGTTCGAGAAAAACAATGTTATTAAGAGTAGATTGTGTGTGATGTGGTAGGCTAAGACTAAGGCATGGGTCACAAGGCAAATTTTCATTGACTGGGTCCATGAAGTGTTTGGCCTGAGTGTGAAAAAATACCTTGTGGAAAAGAAATTGCCACTCAAGTGCCTCCAAGTAATAGACAATGCTCCTGCTCATCCTCCAAACTTGGTAGACCAATTGTCTAGAGATTTCAGTTTTATAACACTGAACCTCTTGCCTCCTAACACCACTCCTCTCATCCAGCCCATGGACCAGCAGGTCATTTCTAACTTCAAAAAACTCTACACAAAAGCAGTGCTTCAAAAGTGCTTTGAAGTGACCTTGGACACTGAATTGACCCTAAGAGAGTTCTGGAGGCATCACTTCAATATCCTCCATTGAATAAGCCTTATAGGTAAGGCTTGGCAGGGAGTGACTTCCAGGACTCTGAACTTTTCCTGGAGACAATTGTGGCCAGTGTGTGTCCTCGAGAAGGATTTTGAAGGGTTTGAGGCTGACCCTGTCTACCCTCTGCCTGTTGTGGAATCTACTGTGGCATTGGGGTTGGATGTGAGTGGCAAGGATGTGGAAGAATTAGAGGACCACAGGGAAGAGCTAACCACTGAAGAGCTGCAACACCTTCAACTGGAAGAGTAACAGACCACAGCTGAGGAACCTGCTTCAGCAGAGGAGGAGGAAGAGAGAGGGAAGGATGTGCCTTCTTCAGTGATTAAGGACATGCATGCAAAGTGGAACGAGTTGCAAACTTTTGTAGAGAAATATCACCCTGACCAGCTGAAACAAGCCATATCTGCAACATCTTCAGTGACAAAACCTTGTCCCATTTTAGGGAAAACTTAAGAGAGATGCCAGAAACAGAGCAATCTGGACAGTTATTTTGTGTGACAGGCATCCAGTGTCTCTCAAGCTGGTCCTAGTGGCATTAAAAGACAAAGAAGGGAAGTAACCCCAGAGCGGGACTTGTTACCTGACGTCCTTATGGAGCGGGATTTCCCCTTCCAAACAATAACTCCAACTCCCTCTCTCCTCCTTCCTATCTTCCATAAGTCAACAAGAGTCTTCAATAAAGGTATATAATAGTAATTTAATTGCTCATGTACTAATTTAGTTCTTATTGTTTTGTGTATGTAAAACTATACTTCATCTTTAAAAAATGTATTTTTTGTTAATATTTTTGGGCATCTAAAATGGATTAATTGTATTTACATTAATTCTTATGGGAAATATTGCTTCGAATTTAGGCCGTTTTGAATTTAGGCCGACCTGGAATGGATTACAGCCGAAAAACGAGGTTCCACTGTACACTTAGCTGGTTTCACTGGACAGACCCAAACCTCGGACTACCTCTGCCTTTGAACAAACTAAACTTTTGGGGTTCCACTATAATAATAATTCATGACAAAGCAATGTTATGCATCTTCAGTGAATGTTATATATTAGGGTCTGCAACCACAACTTAATATAACACACACTTATCATTTAACAAACTTTTTTAACAGGTAAGAAAAATTAAGAGGAATAAAATATAAATAAAAGGCTCATCAAAACAGTACAGTTTCATCACAAACTAAAGAGCAACAAAATTATAAAAGTAAAATTTACACAGACCCAGAAGTATAAGGGTTGGTATAGAATCTGGTATAGAATGTTGCAGAGACTCTGGCATAGCATCAGGTGGGATGGCATAGTCAGCATAATCAGCTGTGTCCTGAGATAACCGGTGGCTTTCTGCGAAATAAGAACAAACACAAAACCTGCATAAAACAAAAGCAACCCAAAAGATAATGATGAGTAAACGCCAAAGTGATGCAAATTATATACTAAACAAAATATGTATGTGCAAATACAGTATGCCCAAAAACCCTGATGACAGCATGCAGAAAATAATGTACCCATAAATTCAAGCCTCATCATTAATCGAAAGTACTGTACACACCAGTTACATGTGCTAATTTTGCATCTATATCGACATTTATGTATGCTGAATGAAAATTAAAACCTCTCTAATAGCAAGCTACTAAAATATTACAATGCAAGCAGAAATTAAAACTATATGGTGAAGTATGGTGAAAAAAGTAAACACACTATATATCAAGAATAAAAAAAGGAATAATCTACCATTTTTGAGGGAGGGAAGTAGGGGTGAGTAAGGAGGAAATGGAGGAGCAGGGAATGAAAATGGGGGGGATGGGGGGAGAAAGGAGGAGGGAACAAGGAACAGTGATAGGGGAAGGGGAAGAATGAAATGAACACAATTCTATCAAATAATTATACAACTAACCAAAAGTCATTTTTATTTTGTATTTACAGGGAAACCATTGAAAATTTTGCACCTTGGTACATACTGATGATACAAAATTGTTAATATGTATTTAGCACTGTATACAAAACCTAAACTTGTTTTGAACACTACTGGTAAACTATGTTAAAAATGTTTGCATGGAACCATGCAGCTAGTTATTCAGTTCACAAGTCTTACTATGTACAAACAGTATAATACAATTACCATTCTTTTAAAAACAATTCCATTAATATTGTGTCCCAAATTAAATCCACATATTTTTACAATATTGCAAGATTTCAGGTACGTCTTGCTACTTCTACTTACACTTAAGTCACACTATACATGCATGTACAAGCGTATATATCCACACCCCTCAGGGTTTTCTTTTTTCTTAATAGTTCTTTTTCTTGTTTATTTCCTCTTATCTCCATGGGAAAGTGGAACAGAATTCTTTCTCCATAAGCCATGCATGCTGTAAGAGGTGACTAAAATGCCAAGAGCAAGGGGCTAGTAACCCCTTCTCCTGTATACATTACTAAAGTTAAAAAGAGAAACTTCTGTTTTTCTTTCTGTTCCATCCTGCTTTGGTGGGATACGGCCAGTTTGTTGAAAGAAGAAGATTTTTATAATGTAGCTGGCAATGAGTACTCCATAGCAACATCAATGCAATACACAAGTTGAGTACACTGGGGACAATCACAGTAATTTCCCATTTAGCAACAAATGTTCCAGAGAAAAATATTGCTTTGTTCTAAATCTTTGTTGGACAAAATCCTGCATGGTATGCGTTACTTAATTACTATTACTAATAAGTGCTTATAACTTGCCTTCACACTAACACCCAACTTGTCTGTGGTGATCTCAATTTTTCATAAATGCTACCTCAGAGTTAGTTTGTCTAGACTTCGAATTAGGTTAATAAAAAATTCTTTCTCAAAAAGGGTATGATGTACAGTGGTACCCTGAGTTACGAACTTAATTCATTCCAAAAGGCTGTTCATCAAGTGCTGTTACCAAACGAATTTGCTTCCATAAGGAATAATTTAAATTAGATTAGTTCGTTTCAGACTCCCAAAAATACACTTACAAAAACACTTACAAAAATACACTTACACAACTGTTCGAGCTGGAAGCTGTTCGAAACTCGAGTTACCACTGTACTTCTAATTCTGTTTTGGTCTTTGTAATATCAGGTCGTAATCACTACAATATGTCATTTAAGAAACTAATCAGCATGTTTATCAACAACCTATTTTGTACTAAGCATTGTGACAATTTCTGATTCACCAAATGATGATTTTTTTAGATGAAATGCATTGTTTCCTATCAAAATTATCGTAGCTGTGTGTTCTACTGGGCTAATAAAAAAAAATGGCACCCAAAAGTGCTGTAAGTAAACCGATGATTTAATGGATTAATAAGGTGGAGCGGGTGATCATGGTGGATAGACATGAAATTGCTTTGTGTTGATCACAAAAATAATGGACAATGAAGTAACGAATGGACTTCGTCAGTTATTGTGAAATCAGTCAAATCTGTTGATTTTGTCATGTATTTCCAAAGCCCATTAGAAAAGCAATTATGTACATACTATATTAATAATAACGGATATATATCTGTTAATAGGTCATAACCAAAATGTAATCATATTAAAACATAAAAGGTACTATGTCTGAAGTGGACTGCTTAACTTACCTCTTCTCATACTTTTAGAGGGCGAGGAGCCAGACAGTTTGGCTGGGGAAAGTGAAGATGTCTTGCTCTTGGAAGGAGAGCTGGAGGAGGATTCTGCTGAAGATGAGGGAGTGTGGGAAGAAAGCCCCCGAGAGTCTGAACCTCCACAGTGATCCTCACCATCTGATGAATCTGAGGAGTCCCCAGTGAAGGGAACTGACCTGATTTGGCTGGCACGCTGAAGGAAGAATCAAATGATAATTTGTGGATCAATCTTAATCACATTTTCCAGTTTTGCAATTTACAGAGTACCAGGTACGTACTTCATCACCTAAATAGCTTTTATATTACAGTACCCACAACATTCACAGCTTTAAGATCACTAAAAATCATAGCTTTCCACAACATTTTAGCACCCTGCAAAATACTACTGTACTGTACTAAGCACACAGCTGTTAGATCACATTGGCACACTGCCAAACCTCATTAATCTTAAACATTTCGGACCAAAAGCTTTCTGGCTAATTAAGTTTTGTGGCTGATCATGGTTGCTATGGTATACTTAGAGTTCCATCACTTAAGACAAGCAATATAACACTTTTCCTTTCCAGATTTTCTGCTATTATCTTCATTATTACAATCAATTACACTCATTAACAGTGCATAGAAATATTTTTGTCAGATTAATGAATGATTACACAATAATTCATTCAATCATTCACTATCTCTCCCTCTCTATATGAGTATGTGTACGTGTTAGTTACCATTTTATCCTAGGCACATGTCGATTACACACTAGGCCTGGTGAATGTGACTGCATGTGTGCGTGTGTTAGTTACCATTTTGTCCTAGACGTGTGTGTGTGTGTGTGTGTGTGTGTGTTGTGTGGTGTGGTGTGTGTGTGTGTGTGTGTGTCAGTGTGTGTGTCTGTGTGTGTGTCTGTGTGTGGTCTGTGTGTGTGGTCTGTGGGTTGTGTTGTGGTGTGTGTGTGTGTGTGTGTGTGTGTGTGTGTGTGTGTGTGTGTGTGGTGTGGTGTGTGTGTGTTGTGTGTGTGTGTGTGTGTGTCTGTGTGTGTGTGTCTGTGTGTGTGTGTGTGTGTGTGTGTGGTGTGTGTGTGTGTGTGTGTGTGTGTGTGTGTGTGTGTGTTGTGTGTGTGTCTGTGTGTGTGTGTTGTGTGTGGGGTGTGTGTGGGGTGTGTGTGTGTGTGTGTGTGTGTGTGTCTTTGTGTGTGTGTGTGTGTGTGTGTCTGTGTGTGTGTGTGTGTGTGTCTGTGTGTGTGTGTGTGTGTCTGTGTGTGTGTGTGTGTCTGTGTGTGTGTGTGTGTGTGTGTGTGTGTGTGTGTGTGTGTGTGTGTGTGTGTGTGTGTGTGTGTACTCACCTAGTTGAGGTTGCGGGGGTCGAGTCCGAGCTCCTGGCCCCGCCTCTTCACTGATCGCTACTAGGTCACTCTCCCTGAGCCGTGAGCTTTATCATACCTCTGCTTAAAGCTATGTATGGATCCTGCCTCCACTACATCGCTTCCCAAACTATTCCACTTACTGACTACTCTGTGGCTGAAGAATACTTCCTAACATCCCTGTGATTCATCTGTGTCTTCAGCTTCCAACTGTGTCCCCTTGTTACTGTGTCCAATCTCTGGAACATCCTGTCTTTGTCCACCTTGTCAATTCCTCTCAGTATTTTGTATGTCATTATCATGTCCCCCTATCTCTCCTGTCCTCCAGTGTCGTCAGGTTGATTTCCCTTAACCTCTCCTCGTAGGACATACCTCTTAGCTCTGGGACTAGTCTTGTTGCAAACCTTTGCACTTTCTCTAGTTTCTTCACGTGCTTGGCTAGGTGTGGGTTCCAAACTGGTGCCGCATACTCCAATATGGGCCTAACGTACACGGTGTACAGGGTCCTGAATGCTTCCTTATTAAGATGTCGGAATGCTGTTCTGAGGTTTGCTAGGTGCCCATATGCTGCAGCAGTTATTTGGTTGATGTGCGCTTCAGGAGATGTGCCTGGTGTTATACTCACCCCAAGATCTTTTTCCTTGAGTGAGGTTTGTAGTCTCTGACCCCCTAGACTGTACTCTGCCTGCGGCCTTCTTTGCCCTTCCCCAATCTTCATGACTTTGCACTTGGTGGGATTGAACTCCAGGAGCCAATTGCTGGACCAGGTCTGCAGCCCTGTCCAGATCCCTTTGTAGTTCTGCCTGGTCTTCGATCGAGTGAATTCTTCTCATCAACTTCACGTCATCTGCAAACAGGAACACCTCAGAGTCTATTCCTTCCGTCATGTCGTTCTCAAATACCAGAAACAGCACTGGTCCTAGGACTGACCCCTGTGGGACCCCACTGGTCACAGGTGCCCACTCTGACACCTCGCCACGTCCATGACTCGCTGCTGTCTTCCTGACAATATTCCCTGATCCATTGTAGTGCCTTCCCTGTTATCCCTGCTTGGTCCTCCAGTTTTTGCACCAATCTCTTGTGTGGAACTGTGTCAAACGCCTTCTTGCAGTCCAAGAAAATGCAATCCACCCACCCCTCTCTCTCTTGTCTTACTGCTGTCACCATGTCATAGAACCCATTTAGGTTTGTGACACAGGATTTCCCGTCCCTGAAACCATGTTGGCTGCTGTTGATGAGATCATTCCTTTCTAGGTGTTCCACCACTCTTCTCCTGATAATCTTCTCCTGATAATCTTCTCCATGATTTTGCATACTATACATTCAGTGACACGGTCTGTAGTTTAATGCTTCATGTCGTCCTCCTTTTTTAAAGATTGGGACTAAAATTTGCTGTCTTCCATGCCTCAGGCAATCTCCCTGTTTCAATAGATGTATTGAATATTGTTGTTAGGGGTACACATAGCGCCTCTGCTCCCTCTCTCAATACCCATGGGGGGGAAAGTTATCTGGCCCATTGCCTTTGAGGTATCTAGCTCACTCAGAAGCCCCTTCACTTCTTCCTTCGGTTGTGTGCACTGTGTCCAGCACTTGGTGGTGTGCCCCACCTCTCCGTCTTTCGGAGTCCCTTCTGTCTCCTCTGTGAACACTTCTTTGAATCTCTTGTTGAGGTTCTTCACATACTTCCCCGGTCATTTCTTGTTTTGTCTCTCCTCCTTCCTTCCTTAGCCTGATTACCTGGTCCTTGACTGTTTTTTTCCTCCTGATGTGGCTGTACAACAGTTTCGGTCAGATTTGGCTTTCCCCTGCTATGTCATTTTCATATTGTCTTTGGGCCTCCCTTCTTATCTGTGCATATTCGTTTCTGGGTCTACGACTGTTTCTCCTTATTCTCCTGGTCCTTTGCCTTCTATATTTCTTCCATTCCCTAGCACACTTGGTTTTTGCCTCCCTGCACCTTTGGGGAAAACCCTAGCTCATCCTGGGTTTTTTCATTAATCCTGTTACCCTTGGGTACAACCTCTCCTCACCTCCTTGCATTTTGTTGCTACATATTCCATCATCTCATTAACTGGGTTCCCTGCCAGTTCTCTGTCCCACTGAACCCCATTCAGGTATTCCGCATTCCTGTGTAGTCCCCTTTCTTGTAGTTTGGCTTCATTCGTCCTGGCCTTCCTGCCTCTCCCTCCACTTGTAGCTCTACTGTGTATTTCGAAGCTTAAAACCACAATGGTCACTGGCCCCAAGGGGTCTTTCATATTGATGTCCTCGATATCTGCACTACTCAAGGTGAATACTAAGTCCAGCCTTGCTGGTTCATCCTCTCCTCTCCTCTTGTAGTGTCCCTTACGTGTTGGCACATGAGTTTTCCAGTACCACCTCTCATCTTAGCCCTCCATGTATCTTGGCCCCCATGTGGGTCCAAGTTCTCCCAATCGATCTCCTTGTGGTTAAAGTCACCCATGATCAGGAGCTTTGCCCGCATGCATGAGCTCTTCTGGCCACTCTAGCCAGTGTGTCCAACCATCACTCATTGCTCTCGTCGTACTTCTTGCCTTGGCCTCCTGCTGTTCTGTGGTGGGTTATACATCACTGCTATTACCACCTTGGGACATCCAGAGTGAAGTGTTCCACTATGAAAATCACTTTCCTTCTCCGCTGTCCCTCTCTCCAGCTCATCAAAATTCCAGCGATTTTTGATCAGCAACGCCACTCTCCCACCCCCCCTGTTCCCTCTGTCTTTCCTCAGGATTTGGTATCCCGTTGGAAAGATGGCATCTGTTATCATACCTGTAAGCTTGGTTTCTGTGAGAGCTATGATGTCCGGTGATGCTTCTTTGACTCTTCATGCCAACTCCTCCCACTTATTTGTTATTCCATCAGCGTTTGTGTACCATACCTTCAGTTTCCTTTCCAACACTGTGGTTTGGGGGGCATGTGAGGGTGGGAGACCTGGTGGCATACTGTGGGATTCTATAGCTCGGTGTTGGGTGGAGGCTGTGGGTATGGATTTTTAGTGTGTGTTGGGATGGTGTGATAGGTTGTATGGTTCTGAGAATATTTTGTGTGTGTGCTTGCCCTTGCTGTTCTGTTCTGTTCTGCTCTGACTGACCTCTGCTGGTTCCCTCCTTGTCTCTTTTCCTAGCTCCTTTCGCTTTTTTGTCCTCTCCCTCAGCTGCTGTCGTTCTGATTTTGTTGTCTCTGTCTAGGAACACCCTCTTGTACTCTTCCGAGTATTTCAATCGTGGTTTCTCTTGGAGGATCCTGTTCCGCACTGTTTCCGTCCTGAGAATCAGCTTGATTGGTCGGTTTCTCCCCTTCGAGTACCCCCCTATTCTCTGAAAATTTACAATCTCGTCCATCTCTTCACCTATTTCCCTGATGTGTGTGTGTGTACTCACCTATTTGTACTCACCTATTTGTGGTTGCAGGGGTCGAGTCCTAGCTCCTGGCCCCGCCTCTTCACCGGTTGCTACTAGGCCCTCTCTCTCCCCGCTCCATGAGCTTTATCAAACCTCGTCTTAAAACTGTGTATGGTTCCTGCCTCCACTACGTCATTTTCCAGGGTATTCCACTGCCTTACAACTCTATGACTGAAGAAATACTTCCTACTATCTCTCTGACTCATTTGTGTTTTCCCAACTTCCATCTGTGCCCCCTTTTTTGCTGTGTCCCATCCTAAAAAAAACATCCTGCCCTTTTGTCCACCTTGTAAATTCCCTCTCAGAAATTTTGTATTCGTTATCATGCCCCCCCCGTACCCTCCCCCTTTTGCCAGTTGTTTTCCCCCTTAACCTCTCCTTGTAGGACATACCTCTTTGTTCGGGGCCCAGTCTTGTTTT